ATAAAATCTTTAAAAAAAAAAAAAAACATTATTTGCATATAAGAGCTAAAGCTATAAAAAAAAAAAGCTAAAGCTGTAAAACTCTTAGAAGAAAACATAAATCTTCGTGATCTTGTATTTGCTGATGCATTCTTAGGTAGGATATCAACAGCACAAGCATCAACAACAAAAAGGATGACTTGGACTTGATCAAAATGTAAAACTTCTGTATCCAAGAGCATTATGAAGAAGGTGAAAAGAACACCTACAGAATGGGAGAAAATATTTGCAAGTGCTGTATCTCATAAGGGTCTAGTGTCCAGAATATAAAGAACTCTTACAACTCAACAGCAAGAAGATAATCCAATTTAAAAATGGGCCAATGACCCAAGTAAACATTTCTCCAAAGAAGTTATACAAATGACCAGTAAGCACATGAAAAGATGCTCAACATCATTAGTCATTAGGGAAATGCCAGTGAAAATCACGATGAGGTACCACTTCACATCCACTAGGATGGCTGTGGTCAAAACAGAAAGCCACAGCAACAGAAAAGAGCAAGAGCTGATGAGGGTGTGGAGAGAGTAGAAGCTTCATGCACTGCTAGTGGGGATGTAACATGGCTCAGCGGCTGTGGAAGACAGCTTGTTGGCGTCTCAAAAGTTAAAAATAGAATCACCGTATGACCCAGCAGTTCCACCCTGAGGTCTATGTCCAAAAGAACTGAAGACAGGGACTCAAGCAAAGTACATATCCACACCTGTTCGTAGCAGCATTATGCACAGTAGCCAAGTGTAGAAGCAGGCCACATGTCTATCAATGAATAAACAAATTGTGGAATGTACGTACAATGGAATGTTATTCAGCCATGGGAAAGTATGAATTACTGATACATGCTATAACATGGATGAACCTCAGAAACATTATGCTAAGTTAAAGAAGCCAGACACAAAAGATCGCATAATGTATGATTCTATTATATGAAATATCCAGCACAGGTCAATCTGTAGACACAGAACACAGATTGGTGGTTACCCAGGGGCGGGGGGGCAGGAGGAATGGGGAGCCACTGCTTAACGGGTACAAGATTTCCCTGTGGGGTGATGAAAATGTTTTAGGGCTAGATAGAGGTGGTGGCCGCACAAAATTGTGAATGTACTAAATGCCACTGGAATTGTTCATTTTAAAATGGCTAATTTTGTGTTAGGTAAGTTTCACTTCAATTACCAAAAAAAAGAAAAGAAAAACCCAACAACACTGTTTATTATCTTTACTCTCTTTAAATGATGTAAAACAAAGAGCACTTGGGTTTTTCCCTGGCTCTTGGATGAGTTACGTTGTCTTATCTTTATACCCTTGGATGTAGATCTACATGGAGGGGAGCTGCAGGGTACCAGAATCAGACCAAGAGTATACTGCAGAATGTTCCCTTTGAATTTTAAAATTGCAGCTAGTACAGGTGAAATAAAATTATATTGCATAAATTTTAGGGATGATAAGCATATTTTTTGAAAAGCAGATTATATTTTAAGTCTGGGGACTTGGGTGATATTTCAAGGGGAGTGGACTGAGAATAATGAGGGGGAGGGGTGGTAATAACTTGATTGTTTCATTTTTTCTTAAGTCATATGGTAATTTTTCCAACCAAGTCAAGACATTCCTTTAAACAATAAACTGATTTTTGTGTTTCTCACTTCATATCACATTGTCAATAAGCCATCAAATAACAATGACAAGAACAAGATTGTTTCTGTGGGAAATATTTTTATTGGCCCTCACTTGAAACTGCCTTTGTGTTCTAGAATTTGAACAATTGTACTTCTCTGAAAATGTCTAATATAACTGTTTATCTACCCAACTGCTGTTGAGCTAGTGAGTCAACATTACTATTCATAGAGTCATTTTTTACATTGATCATCTGACTTGTATCTAGGAAAACTATAAGCTAAAGTTAACTTTTTGGTCTTTACTTCCAAAAAATGAAAAGACAGGACCTGTTTCCTGAGATGCCAATCCCATTTAATATGTTTTATTATGGGGGTAGATTTTATAGCAAACACTTTCTTTAATATTTTTCAAATTATCTAGCTATGACTTAAATTAACAGTTTCCATGGAATAAATATCACTTGGTATGCATTTTTCGTTTCTGCCAGGAAGCCCCATAGTTTTTCCAGATGGTTTTTTTTTTTCTGTTAAATGATGTACTAACAGCAAAAAGTTACATTTCAGATTTTATTTTTTTAATGAGAATCTTACAGCAAAATACATGTCAGTTCTACAGAGCTCTCTCAAGAGTTTAAGAATCAGAAATAGGAGAAGCCACATGTATTGCAAATGTTTCTGGAAGACTGGTATTCTTATTTCCTCTTGAGCAAAGAGAACACTCAAACTCCTTGGTGACTGAGAAGTTAGGTATTCCTTCTGTAACTTCCTCCATGTGAGAGGCAAAATTTTGTCAAAACATTAAGACAAAAAATTCAGTACTGGTTCACTGCTGATGACTCACCAAGCTCTGAGCATTCAGGAAAAGCCCAAACAAAAGAAGATTTGAGAGAAATTGCTAATGGTCTTCCAAATGCGCAGTCCTAAGGGGATTGAATTTGAGCTTTTCTTCCAAACTGAAAACAGTAGCCTCACTAAATGTTTTGTTAAAAAGGAGTCCTGTGGTCAGTTAAATTTCAGGAATGTTGTGTCTAATATCCCTCCTAGAGAAGGGCTGTGCCTCTGAGGAGTCTTGCAGGAAGAAACATGTTTAACTTTGCATAACTCAGCATTTTCTGAAGTCATTTGACAGGGTGGGCCCCTCAGTTTTGCTAATGCTTAATGATCTCTCTGACGGAATTCTCTAAGGAGCAGACTTAGGGAAATATCAGAGTAGATGATCGCAGAGGGTCCTTTCTGGTAGTAAAATTTCATAGTTCTGATAACCCACTATTTCTCTGTTATTTTAATGTAAAGTTACTGTTTATCCCATCTTTCATTTTCTTTTTAATTTATCTAATTGCACAGGCTGTAAACAAAATGGCACCAAGCTTGGAGATGTTATCCTTCCACCGTGGGCAAAAGGGGACCCACGGGAATTCATCAGAGTCCACCGTGAGGTAATGGGAGCGCCCTTCGCAGCTGAATTTGAATTTCATTGGGTCGTTGACCACAATACAAAGAGAGGACCTTGAGCAAGATAGCACCCATTTGTTCAAATTACAGATATTGTTCTTATGATTTTTAGTTATTTTAGTTCCTTGTGAACACTGGCCAATTGTTTTTGCTTTCTGAGCAAGTAATAAAAGTCAGCCTGTGACTGAACGTGTGTTTTGAAATTACAGGCTTTGGAATGTGATTACGTGAGTGCCCATCTGCATGAGTGGATTGACTTAATCTTTGGCTATAAACAGCAAGGCCCTGCTGCAGTAGAAGCTGTAAATGTCTTCCACCATCTTTTTTATGAGGGTCAAGTGGATATCTACAACATAAATGACCCACTAAAGGAGACAGCCACCATAGGGTTCATTAATAACTTTGGTCAGATCCCTAAACAGGTATGGATATTCTTATCATTGATGCTCTCAGCTTCATTTTTTTAAGCTCTAATATTGCTATAGATGGTGAATGACCATATAATAAGTTTAGGCTAAGTTTTTATTGAAGAGCCATGCCACCCAATAGGTTCAGTAGGTTCCAAGATTATTGCTTTCTCCTCCCTTTTGCAGTCCAGGTAAATAGAAATGTTGTTCAGAGAGAATTTCCCCTCACAGACGAGTGCAGGGAGCGCTTTCCTATGTCTGCATAAGATCTGCAATCAGGGAAGAAGATGGGGTCTCGGGGGCCACAGCACACAGAGATGGGGTTTCGTCCCAAGGCCAGTAGGAAGCCAGTGCTGACTTTGGGCAAGGAAATGGCATGGTCGTATTTAGACTTTATTTTTTACTTATTTGTTTATTTATTATGATTTTATTTTTAAGTAATCTCTACACCCAGCGTGGGGCTTGAACTTAGAACCCCGAGATCAAGAGTCGCGTGCTATACCAACTGAGCCAGACAGGTGCCCCCATAGTTAGACTTTTTTTAAAGATTTTATTTATTTATTTATTTGACAGAGAGAATGAGAGTGAGTGCACAAGCCAGGGGAGAGGCAGAGGGAGAAGCGGGATCCCTGCTGAGCAGGGAGCTTAACGTGGGGTTTGATCCCAGGACCGTGGGATCATGACCTGAGCCAAAGGCAGACAATTAACCACCTGAGCCACCGAGGCTCCCCCTTATTTAGACTTTAAAGATCATTCTGTCCATGTGCATTAACTAACTGGAATGAAAATAAAACCTGAAAAATAAAGATCATTCTGTCTATAGTCTCATACACGCACACACTGTAGGGGAACCAAGTTAGGAGCAGAATACCACCTCGGAAGCTCTTAATAGTAGTCGAGGGAACAGATAGTGGTGATCTGGATTAGATAGTGATGCAGGTGTGATGAGTGCTCTGGTAGGAGAGCGCATGCCGTGGGAATGCCGAGAACCAGCCCTGCACTAGCTGCTGTAACCACCATCTGGAACCTGAACAGAAAAACCAAGAGTGTAGCCACTCAGCACCCAAGTGCTGTAGATCTCTCACCTTCATGATGAGCGAAGCCCAGTTAAGAGACTTTATGCCGTCTCTCCTCCCCGTCCTCAGAGCACAGCAGGAGGGTGTGATGCGCCAGGAGGAACCAGCCCTGTGGGAAAGGCACACTCTGCTGGCCATCCAAACCACCTAGCTTTCCCAAATGCCCCGGGTCTGCACTTTGGCCCAGACATCCTTCTCTGTACCTTCCTCAGATACCTCTCTTGGGCTCCCTTTTTGTACATTAACCAGCTTGGAGGTTTCCAGGGTTGATGGTTGGGAACAGTCAGAACAATGGCACTTCTTCATACAACAGACAGCAGAAGAGCCTGTAACTGCACCACTCACAGCGTAGTCTGATCCCCCAACTGAGTAACTGTGTTTACTTTTAGAGAGGGGGGTGCAGAGGGAGAGGGAGAAAGAGAGCCCCAAGCAGGCTCCACGCCCAGCCCAATGCAGGGCTCGATCCCACAACCCCGAGACCAAGACCTGAGCCAAAAACCAAGTTGGACACCTGACTGAGCCACCCAGGCGCCCCAGAACTGTGTTTACTTTTAAAGTGAAATGCTTATTGATAAACTCTAATCGCAGCTGAAGAATTGTAGTTAAACCTTTCCTTTTCTCTGAGGGTTACAAGCGCAAGAACTGTGTTTCATACCCTCTGAGAAGTATTCTGAACGAAAAAATCAAGACACATGTACTGTCACAGAATTTCAGTCCCTTTTGAGTTTAAGAGGTGGACAGCCTGGGAACTAAAGTTTGAATATTCTTCAGACATTCCAGTGACTGATAGAGTCCTTCAAAGTATGTCATCCTAGAAAATCTAGGTTTTACAGTCAGCATATCCATACATTGTTATATACCCTGACCTGGTGAGGTGCTCTATCCTTGGGTCCTCTTAAAAGTTCTTCAGCAGGGGCGCCTGGGTAGCTCAGTCAGTTAAATGTCTGCTCAGGTCATGATCCCGGGGTCCTGGGATCGAGCCCCATGTGGGGCTCCCTGCTCAATGGGGGAGTCTGTGGCTCCTTCTCCTGCTGCCTGCCGCTCTGCCTACTTGTGCTCTCTCTCAGTGTCAAATAAATAAATAAAATCTTTAAAAAAAAAGAACTTATTAATGTGATATCTGTATTAAAAAAAAAGCTCTTCAGCAAATGTCCATTCATGAACATGCTTTAAAGTAGGGGAGTCTTTTTATACAACTACAGAGTCTGTGTCATTTAAAGAAAATAACAGAACCCTGATATATGTAGATAAGATAGGAACAAGGTTTTTAAATGTTTGGATGCCTAAAATATCTTTCTCTTTACAAAGCATTTTTTTCTATTTTTTCTTCTGGAAATCCAGAATGTCACATTCACGAAGTGTGAAGGTTTTCTAGTCATTTTAAATCTCATTTTATCTAAGATTTTCCAGATATCTTCCTCAGATAACAGTTTTCTAACAGAAATGGCTCTAGGCCTATTTTGAAGATCTACAGTATTTAAAAAATAGTCATCTTACATGACTATTTTCTTTTTTTCCCCTTACAGCATTGCAAAGTAAAAAGAAGGCAACAGTGTTCATACTTTGAACAAATTAGTAGCATCTAAAAGACACCAAAATGATGTCATGTTGAAAGGCCATGTTGAAGCCAGAAATAACTCAGAATGTCAGTCTGCCCTCAGTGGTACAGAATGGTATCTGGCTGTAAAGAATTGGTTACTTTTTAAAAATCATTGGAAAATAATTGTTGATCGACTATAGTTTGAGTAGATTCATTTACCCCTGAAAAGTTAGGAAGTCAGAGTAGCATAGAGCATGGTGGTAACCCAGGCTTTTAAAAAGTATCATGGACCCATCCCTGCTTGCAAGATGGGAGACCTCCAGCCTTCTTCTGAGCCTCCTTAAAGGTTCTTTCCTCAAATGAAAGGCGTGGTAATGGAGTGCCTAGTGGTCCTTGTGAAGTGCAAGTGAAATAAAAACATAATAGCTGGCATTTAAAGGGCTCAATAAATGTTAGCTTTCATTGTAAAATGTGTCATCCTCTCTCATCCCAGTTATTTAAGAAACCTCATCCACCAAAGCGAGTGAGGAGCCGACTGAATGGAGACAGTATGAGCGCCTCTGCCCCCCTGGGGTCTACAAGTGACAAGATCTTTTTCCATCACCTGGACAACCTGAGGCCTTCTCTAACACCTGTAAAAGGTGAGGTGACAGGAAGTCAACCTGTGCTTCCTGATGCTGTGGGCGTAGTTAATAATCCTAGTTTAGCAGTAACGTGTGCCTTTCAACATTAGTGTCCTTTGTAATAAGTGCTATACTTTCTATCACCAAATACCTGTTAGATTTTCTCCTTTTCCTTTTGTTTTGGTTTGGTTTGGGGTTTTTTGGCCTGTTGGATTTTTTCATCAAAAAGAACCAAACGGGTTTCTCCTCCTGCTCAGACAGCGAAAACTCTAATACACCAAATCTTGTAGCTCAACATTATATTATATATGTAGAAAAACCTTTGTAATCTTCATTTGTATGTGTTCTGCCAATTTAGACATAGCAGTAAAAAGACTGCATTTTTAATAAGCCAACTGAAAGTATCTGTTTTTTATCTAATGTGGCTATGACTTCTCTAAAAGTACTTTTTGGGGGCTCCTGGGTGGCTCAGTCCATTAAGCGTCTGCTCTCTTCCCCCTCCACTCATGCTCTGTCTCTCTCTCAAATAAATAAATAAAAATTAAATAAATAAAATACTTTTTCAAGTGGATATTTTTCTTAGAATGAAAAAAGGTTTTTGTAAAGGCTTAAAGTTGCCACTGTTAAATCTAAAAATTGCAGTATCAGTCTGGTTGATTGGATAGGCTCCCCGCTCGGTGCTCTTTGGGCTCATGACACAGACCGCCCTGTACCAGCCCCACTCACCGCGGGTGACGGTTACGGAACACCGGCGTGCTCGGCAGTGTCCTGGGGCAGGGCAGGGCAGGGGGTCGGACCTCGTGTGGGACGGCATGTCCTTCCTTCTGGAAGTCTAAGGCTGGATATCATTTGGGAGGTGCTGCAGGCCTAGACTGGTTGAAGGTCTGTGTATGGATTCTGGAGAGCATCTCAGATTACTCTGCACGGTCCTAATGGTCAAGAAGACAGGCCAGTTGCTAGGAGCCAAACCCAAGTCTTCAAGAGGCAGGAAAGCCAGAAGGAAGCCCTGCAGAACACCTGTCAGGGTCCATGTCCATCACCCAGCGGAGACTCAAAAGCCAAGCTCTCCCTCTAAGCTCATTTTGTCCTAATGTATGTGTCAGGAGGCTTGATTCCTACAAACAAATGAAATGATGATCCCCTATAGGATCATGAGGTTCATTTTCTTTGTCCCTATTCTGATCTGTTGATTTGTTTTTTACAGAACTTAAAGAGCCTGTGGGCCAAATAGTGTGCACAGATAAAGGCATTCTTGCAGTAGAACAGAATAAGGTTCTTATCCCACCAACCTGGAACAAAACTTTCGCTTGGGGCTATGCGGACCTCAGCTGCAGGCTGGGAACCTATGAGTCAGACAAGGTTTGCATTGTTTCTTGCTCACTCATTTATTCTTGCTCTTTTGTGGTTTGGATATCCTGCTTGAAAGAGGTGGGAAGAGCCCAGTCCAAGGGCTAGTCAACCGCTCCTGCCAGAGCCCAGAGGAAGGGAGAGCTTCGCAGCCTCAGATCAGGTTAAAGGAACTAGTGGACAAGGCGGGTTTCCTACAGAACAAGCCGCTTTTCAAAAGTTGTGTACTGAGCTCTAGCAGTTTCTCTCCCACTCAGAATTCCTCCAAGAGATCCTAGTCAGCCAGGTGGTCAACATTTCTGACCACTGAAAGAGCGTCTTTTCGGTGGATCACCATCTGGCCCACGTACCGTTTCAGTACTCTTAAGCGGCTGATGGAAAACCTGTCAGCCCATCGCCCAGGCCACAGCAGCTACTGTGTGGAGTCCCATAGTAGCTCTCGGAGAGGCCCTGCGGCGTGGCTGTCCGGTGCCCTGGGCTTGCCCTCTGCCAGTCTCCTCCTAACGGCAGGCGGGATCTAGCTTGCGCAAGTCTGTGCATTGCGCTGTGACACAACTCTAGTTAAGCTTCTCATTAAATGGCAGCACTCATGATTTCCGTTTACCTCTAACTGGCTGTAGCAAACACAGCCTTCTACCAGATTATCCTCTGCCTCGTACACAGCATCACCTTCTGGAGCCCCTCAGGGAACATCATTTTCCTCGACTGGAGAAACTGAAGACACCCACTAGGAGCAAAGTCCTTTTTACTATGGTTTCTCACAGCAACTGCAGTTCGGAGGCTGTAGGGCTGGTTCAGGGTAGAGCCTCAGTGGAAATTCAGCCCAGGATGTACGTATGCATTTGCCTGTGAGGCGCCTACATGGGGGCTCTCCTTCGCTCAGCATGCTCGTTGTGATTCCGAAGTTGATAGTACTTGATGGCATGTGTGTCTCACATCTGTTTTATTTTATAGGTAGTGACTGTTTATGAATGTTTGTCTGAGTGGGGCCAGATTCTCTGTGCAATCTGCCCCAACCCCAAGTTGGTCATCACAGGTGGAACGAGCACAGTTGTTTGTGTCTGGGAGATGGGCACCTCGAAAGAAAAGGCTAAGACCCTCACTCTCAAACAGGTAACAGAATAAACAGAAGATGGATATATTCCATCTCGGTGGCCTGCACTCTAGAGAAACTACAAAGCTTCTTTAATAACAAGGTGCTTCAGGTATAATGGACAAAATAAAAAAAATATGTTCTTTTGCTAGAAATGGGTCTTTAAAAAGAAATGAAATGAGACGGTACTATTTCTAAAAATGATCTAAGCACCCCGTTATTCCAAATACAAGGTTGACATTTTAGTTTGCTGATCCAGACTCTCTTGCTTACAGTATTTTCCATTTAGAAAATAGGCTTTGAAGCTAGCGTGCCAGCCAGTAACCCACTCAGTAGAAGGCACTTCTTATTTAAAACAGCCTCCTGGGGTTTGCTGAGCATACAGAAAGGATTTATGTATGACAAAACATTGTAAGCCAACTCATTATTTAAATAGTTAAATACTCAGGAACTCTTAACAGTAATCTGAATCGTCTTCTCTGAAATGCTTGCTCTCCCACATTGCCGTTTCCCTGGGTCCTGTTTCTCTTCATGTTCTAGCAGAAGACAAAAGTTCCTATTGTAGTCTGAAGAAGATCTCTTGGGCACAGACGTGTCCAGGTCAGTAACAGGAGCTCAGCACACCTTCCCTTTATCTTGCTAGGACCATGTACCATCACCAGGCAGGCCTTACCATATGTGCATTTTTTAAAGACCCATCCAGTTATAGTTTCTTAGACTAACAGGACACGGCATAAAAGAATCAATGCCCAGTTTAAATTCTGTACTTTGGGGGTGGGGGGGTGCATAACTGATGCATCTCCATGTAGAAACGGGATGAAAAAATCCAAGCTGGGTCACAGCTTCCATTCTCCCTTCTAAGATTCTAGCCCAGGTCCAGGAAAGAAGTGATGTAAAAATGGAGGTCAGAGCCTCCAGAGTCCCCCAGACTTCCCCACAATGGGATGAGGCAAGGACAGTCGGCAAAGAAGGAAGACTTTGCAGACGCTGCTTCTCCCAGCACGTGCTTCCCTCACTCCTAGTGCAGCCAGGACCTTCTGGAGCCCCTCAGGGAGCACCGTCACGGTGATCAGCCTGGTTTTTTCTCTTCTCCTTCGTAGGCCTTACTTGGCCACACGGATACTGTCACCTGCGCCACAGCGTCATTGGCCTATCACATAATTGTCAGCGGGTCCCGTGACCGAACCTGCATCATTTGGGATCTGAACAAACTGTCATTCCTAACCCAGCTCCGAGGCCATCGAGCTCCAGTTTCTGCTCTTTGTATCAATGAATTAACAGTAAGTAGTCAGTTGCCCACTTGGTTTATGGTGAGGAAAACAAGTATTTCTGGCTAATGTAAACAAAAAAGACTCTGAGTGTTTTCTAAGTTGATAGACATTCATTTCATAAATGCTACTACATGTTCCTTGATTTATGCAAAAAGCAAATGGATATTAAAGTTTGTAACTCAGAGATAAATTTGTCTTAAAATCCATTCACTGCTGCATACTTTGAAGAGCAAGATTTGGTTCAAAACAACATTCTAGAATAGGCTTTTTTAAAAACAAGGAATTTGTAGGATCTGTTAAGAATGTTAGAATTGTATTGACATTTTTATGAAATACATTGTCTTTATTTATTATGTAAGGTGAAAAGAGTAACATTTGGGGAACCAAACGAGCAGAGTTGTTACAGAACTATTTTCAAAGTTATCCCAAACTTACTGAAGGATATTAATCTCTTCTCATAAATAAATATTTTATGTATAAATAAATGAGTCAGCATAAAATTAATGCACCAGCCTAGGAGTCCCCCATGGAGACCACACCCACCTAAGGTGGGGTGAGGGGAGGACGGTCATTGCCGAGGTGTGTGGGGATCAGGGGAAGCTAAGGGTATGTTATACAAAGACTGAGGTCCCTGTGTCTGAGGGACAAGTTGCCACATTTGTATGTTGGTGATGCCCACATATGCAAATCGGTCTTGCAAACTGACCAGAACTCCCCAGCCTCACTGCTTCTTAGCTATGTGTACTCATTCCCTCCCTTACCCTTAGTGCTGTCCTGGGGTCCTCTTGTGTGAAATCACGTAGCCACATCATATCATCACCCACACAGACAGCTTTCCTTTGGAGGAATGCAGCATCCTTAATTTACACCAGAAAATACTAAGTAGTATGCTTTTAGTCAGATACCTTGTAATCAGTCAAAGAAGGAAAAAGAAATTCAGTTGTAGTGAATGGCAGGTGGTATGTCTGGTAATAGTAAGAGCCACCACACCTGGCAGGGAGGGGAGAGTATGCAGGGGTAAAAGTCAAATTCATTTTTTGGTATATCTGAAAGGTTTAAGATGCTTTTGGAACAGCACCTCGGTCCTACAAACACATGTACCTAAGAGCTTTATGAAAACCTCAATGCAACAGAATGGCTCTGACCTGGCAGGATTGCCCTGAGTCAAATGCTTTGTGGCACTATTTTGAGCGCTTTGTTTTGGAGTTGTTTTTCACTTAAATACTGAGAATTTTATTTACAGTCAGTTATTCTGTAATGGATTGCAGTTGTTATTCTGCAATGGATTGCCGTAGTTGCAGCAGACACCCCAGATGTGTTTGATTTTTCCCTTTTACAGTGCTTTTGTAATCTCTTAATAACACATGAAAAGATTTCTACTTCTGTCATATTTTTGCAGCCAGTATCAAGTCTGCCTTATTTCAGTCTGCATTTTGGGCGTAAGCGACCTTGCGGCTGCCCTTTAGCTCCTCCTCTTCTGCTTTACGCCCGTAGCCGCAGGATTTGCTCTGATGCTCCCTGATTGAGGCACCCTGGAGTACAGGATGAGAGCCTGGCGCGGGGCCGGATGCAGCAGTGGCCTCTCGCCCCTTGCAGAGACTGAGCCCCTTAATTACAGCACAGCTGCTCACACTCAGTGTCCGAGGTGGTGCAGTGGCTGAATCAGAGGTAGACACAGCAGTGCTTGGCTAAGTATCACTTTTGTTTGGGTTTGGGTTTGGTTCTTGCCATCTTGGTAGAAGGACAGAGGGGGGACGGGAGCAGTAGCAAGACCCGCACAGAGGGTGGTTTGGGAGCGCCCCAGGCCTCCTTACCTTGCCGCCCTTGGCTCCCCCTTCCCTTCTTTCTTGAGTCGATGCTGCTGTTCAGCTTCCGGTTTCCCCCGCTTTTGATGGCCGGCTTCCTATTTCTGTAGGTCCTCGTGTGCCTGCCGGCTGTACTGAAAGTCCCCGGGTCATTTCTAAAGTCAGTGCCTAGCATCATGACTTCCAGGCTGTCTTAGCAGCGTGGTGTGGTACATAAGCTTTGGGGCCAGAAAGGGCTGGCTTCAAATCTTTATCCTGTGACGTTAGGCAGGTTCCTTACAGTCTTTGCACCTGACTTTGATCCCTCCTAAAGCGGGGCTAGTACAGGTAACCTCACAGATGTTGAAAGGATGAAATGGAATGTCAGAAGTGTCCTCTACACTAACTGACACACGGTAGATGCTCCGGAAGCGTCTTCATTCCTGTAACAGGAGTGGGTTGGAGTCTCACCAGGTTGGGTAGAGCCCTGCCTGGTAGAGTTTAAGGGAAAAGCTTGTTCTTTTCTGTCTTTGGAACTTACAAAAACCTGCGTTAACAGCTTAAGGAGTCTGCAGGTTTATCCAGCTGGCCAAGAAGTGACCTTTATTCTAATTTTCTTCTTTTTTTTCCCTCATTCTCCTCCCCTTATTATGAATACAAATTGTAAAGTAGGATGCTACAGTGTTGCCAGCATTTCATCCTTATTTATTGAAAAGAGAGATACAGCTGTATCTAGACTGAAAGATTTCTCTTCTGCCTTACGCTGTTGGTGATTGGACTCGTTTTGTAAAATTAAGTGGAGGTGGATTCCTGGCTCTAAGTGGAAGGTATAAAGAGGTTTTGTAAACCGTGGGAGGCACAAGAGTGGTGCCCCACCGCCTTTGGTCACAGGCAGCTTTCCCCAGAGTAAAGCATGACGCAGCAGTGTGCTGGGGCATAAGCCGAGAGCGTGGAAGGGCTCCTACCCTGGTGTGCGTGCCAAACACCCCCACGCCGCCGCAGCCGCTCACCCACAAGTTCTTTAAGAGGCCTCTCTGTTCGGGGTATGTTTTTCGGTCAGCAAGCACTGAATTCCAGGCTGCCTCAGAAATCCCGAGCCTCCGGTCGAAGAACTTAGGAGGTTTTTTTGAGAGCTAGACCCAAGATTGACTTTGCTTCTGAAACCAAAATGTGGTATGAAGGGAGCAAAGAGAGTGAAGAGGCTGTTTTACCTTCTCAGGGGGACATTGTGTCCTGCGCTGGCACGCACATCCACGTGTGGAGCATCAACGGGAACCCTGTCGTGAGCGTGAACACATTCACAGGCAGGAGCCAGCAGATTGTCTGCTGCTGCGTGTCAGAGATGAACGAGTGGGACACGCAGAACGTCATAGTAACGGGGCACTCAGACGGCGTGGTCCGGGTAAGTCCGCGGTGAGGAGCCACGCTAGGTGCTTGCCGCCCTGCTTACCTGGGACCTGCGGAGCTGTCTGCGGTGCTGTCAGTGAGCAAACTCTTGCCCACGTTCAAACAGGCCTCGGCCACTGGGTTCTCGCCCCTTCCTTACCCCTAACCTGATCTGTTAGTGCCACTCACCACCGGACAGCTTCACCCAGGGTCACTTAAGCATGATTTTCATGTCCCCATAGATTGCTAAACACAGAAATCACTAAAGTATTGGCTTTTTGGCCTCTCAGAGGGCTTCTGTGGGGAAAACAGGGACTGTCTCTTGTCTACAGAGAATCACAGCTGGAAGATGCTGTCCGAGGACTCCCGTTGTCCAGTCCCTCTCTAGAATCCTAGATGATTTCACCCGAACCCTAGTTTATCCTTTTCGTAGTTTTCTTCGTGTTGGGCTTCTACAGAAAAGAGAATCCATGGAGTATTTACCTTCACAGTCTTTCCAAATACTTGGGTCTCTCTCTCAGGAGGTTTTCCTTTGTGCCTATTTTCTTGAGCTGTGCTCTTTGTAAAAGCAGAGAGCAGCTGATTGCCGCCGTGTAGTCACGGTCAATGGCTGCGCAAAGATGAGGCTCTCAGCCCCCGCCACACCACACCCTGTGCCTCAGACAACAGGCACACCCTGACGTCTGCTGCCTCCAGAGTGGTGTTTCAGATGACTCTGTTCTTGAGGCGTTTAGGGAAAAGCTCCAGAGCCAAATGCGTTTGGCAATCCTGCTTACTGCGTGCCTTCATGCTTGCAAGACTCTTGGGGTTTTGTTGGAAATAAAAGTGTGCTTAGTTGAACCATGTTTTTCCAACTAACTTGACCACAGTCCTTTTCCCTTCACCACGAAACACCCATCAACATCTCATGGAACCCGGTTCGGAAAGCGCTATTTATGTGCACACAGTTCTCTCCCACAGTTTTCAAGATAGAGGGAAATTTAATTAGACACAATAATAAGAGATACGTGTTTAACCCCAAGAGCTCATCTTCATCCAGTCACATATAAATTGTTTCTTTAAGCTGCTTAACGTTTTTATTTTCATACTTACTTAAATTCAGTTTTGGAGAATGGAATTTTTGCAAGTTCCTGAAACACCAGCTCCCGAGCCTGTTGAAGTCCTAGAAATGCAGGAAGACTGTCCAGAAGCACAAATAGGTATTGGATACTTTCTAATTATTCCATAGTTTTCATATTTCTTGTTTGTTTGTTTGTTTGTTTGAGGTCACTGAGGATAAACTCACATCAAACAGCATGAATAGTAGCCTAAGGTCGAGTGTGGCTGTCAGAGGCATGAATGCCCCCCGGCTCGGGGGAGGTCGTGGGGCGGGCACCCGAGACTTCGCCAGCTCACCAGGCACTACGTGGTGTGCTATGTCGTGCTTGGCTTCCTCATCCTAGTAGGGTAAATATAGCTGCTAGCTTCCCGGAGTACCAAAGGCTCAGGCCTTCACTTCTGAAAATACAGAGCACATCTGGAGGGCGCAGTGGTGGAGAAATCGGACGGCCCCCAGTCCCACATCTGTTCTGCTCATCACTTATCAGGCTCAGTATGTGTGACAGGCTGGCATCATGTTTGTAAGGTATTCACGGAGGCAGACCAGAATCCCCTCCCTAGGCCCGCCTTTGAAAAAGGGCTTTTATTCAAACTGAAGCTTGGTGCTCTGTGCTCCACTATCTGTTATTTGTGAAACACTTGAAGATTTTTGAGAGGAATACAGAGATGGATGATTGCTATACAAAATGATGAGAAGCGGTGCCATAAACCCAGGCTGAGATCTGCTCTGGGTTGCTCATCTCCAGAGAAGTTACCCCACTTTGATTTAGAACAATTGGTACAATAGACTTCCCCGAGAGGAACGGGGTTTTAACTTTGGCCTTCAGATTGTTTCTCCATGATTAACTTTTGTACACTGAGAATTCCACATGAGTTTGATGATATGAGGGAAAAGACTTATTTTCAGAAAGGCATAAATCACTTCTCTTTGTAAGCGGAAAATAGCTTCTACTTTCATTGCCAGAAAACAAATGATCCAATGGGCAGGGCATTTTAATGCTTCTCTTACCTTAATGCATCTAAGTTTCTGCAGAGTCCATTGCAGCTCCACTAAAAAGGTCATCTGGGTGTTTGGGGACATAAAAATCCAGTTCAGTTCAGTAAGTACTTGGAGGTTACCTGCTGGGTGTCAGACATTGGAGTAAGCAGTCTTAGGAGAAGTGAGAAGTCTGTCCTTTCCTTTAACAAAGGTTTAAGTGAATAACACAAGAAGATGAGATGAATAAGGTAGAAGAGGTCACATTCAGGAAGGAGAGATACTGGTGTGTCTTCTTTCTTCTTATATGTTTATATCGTGGACAGAGGTTGATAGAAGTGGCGGAGGGGAGAGCAGCCCACAGGGAAGGGTTGACTTTGGACAGCATAGGAGTGGCAGGCCTCGAGGGCAGTCGCCTGGGTGAAAGGGAAGGCAAGCCAGTGGTTCACTGGAAATGAAAGCCATTTCTAAGACTGCTCATCAGTGAAGACCTTAAAGCTCGTAGTAATAAGCCACTGGAAAAAAATCAGCTAACTAGACTACTACTGTTAGTACAAGGAAGGCAAACTAAGTAATTTCTCTTGCTTAAAAAAAAATATGTATGTATAGTGAGTTGGTGCTTGTACACTTGTTTGTACTTTCCTTTTTTTCCATTTCTGTATATTTATTTCTTATAAATTTTCTCTCCCGCAGACTCTCTTGCAAGAGAGTAGGGAGTTGGGTTAAGAAAATGTGTAATAACGATGGGAAGAAGGAAAAACCCCACATCAGTAGATGAAAGCTTTCATCAATAATTGATTCACCTAGGTTGTCCTTTACACTGACTGCCACATGGAAGGCACTGTGCTTGGGGCCCCTTCTCCCAAGGTGACCACTGTCTTGTAGAAAGATTATCCAGAAGTAGTAGTTTGGGGTGAGAATTCAAACATGAGAGGCGTACAACTGTTCAAGGAGGCCAGACAAGTGGGAATTACTTTGGGCTGCAGGCACCAGGCGAGATTTTAGAGAAAGCAGTGTTTGAGCTGTGCCTTGACAGATGGGTAACACGGACACACAACCAGATGGGGAAGAGCGGTGTAGTCAGGCCAGCGGCATGTGCGGCATTCGTCGCGAGGGGCAGCCGGACTCCGTGGAGAACAGAGTTGGCGCTGGCCCGCTGAGCTCCGGTAGGGAGGGTGCAGCAGGCACTGAGCCGTTCGTAAAGGCAGGTCTGGGCCACATTGTAAAGCAGGAATGGCAACCTCAGGATTTTGGCCAAAGCAGTCTTTGAACTCAGAAATTCCTTTTTTTTTTTTTTTTTCCTTTTTGCTGTATGTAACCTAGCTGAAATTTCTGGAATTTTTTTTTTATTGTTATACTTAGCTTAAAATGCTATGTATATCGTGCCTTAACTTGTAGAAGAAAAACAGCAGTGGGACCAAGCTAGGTCTACCCGTAATGTGTGTGTGTGTATATGTGTGCTTTGTCATTCTCCCCATGCCTCACCCAGGGCCAGAAGCCCAGGACGAGGACAGCAGCGATTCGGACGCGGATGAGCAGAGCACCAGCCAGGACCCCAAGGACGTGCCCCGTCAGCCCAGCGGCAGCCACGCGCCCCGGGTGGCCTCCTGCCGAGCAGCGGCCGTCTGGTGCGCCGACAGTGCTTCCGATGACTCCAGGCGCTGGTCCGACCAGCTCAGCCTGGACGAGAAGGATGGCTTCGTATTTGTGAACTATTCAGAGGGCCAGACCAGAGCCCATCTGCAGGGTCCCCTTAACCACCCTCAGCCCAGCCCCATGGAAGTGCGGAATTACAGCCGACTGAAGCCCGGTAACTTGGAGTCTGCTGTCGATTTCCTGCTCCTTGTGGGTGGCATGAGGGCTGGTGGAGTGAGGCGGCGGCCTCTCGTTCTCCCTGCACCCCGTCCCTGTGACCTCAGCCTCTCACAGAGCAGGCCTCTTCAGTTCCTTACCCCACAGTGGTGCTTGCTCTACGTTGGGCATTTCTTAAAGAAAAACACCTCCCACCAAAAACTTTCTTCCTTCACAAATCCTGAACGCTTTTGGGAAAATGGGCAAGTTACTGATTACAGATAAAGAAATAAAACTGTCTTTACAGGTAGCTTGCCTGTTAGAGGGCTAGAGGCCAGGTTCCCGACTGGAGAGACTCCCTCTTCTCGCGTTGAAGATTTCCCCATCTCTGCACTATCTTTCCGACCGGGGCGCTCCCTGGCCTGGCCCACGACCAGTGTTGAGCTAGACTGCTTCACCTGCAGCCGAGGCAGCGGCTGCTGGGACAGGCAGAGCTGCTCTAACTGGACGATGCAGCACCCTAACTTTCGAGAGCACCGTATGAGGGCACCCTTACCGAACGCCGGCTTCTCTCACTTCAGGGTGTCATGTCTCTTGCACTCCAGGGTACCGGTGGGAACGGCAGCTGGTGTTCAGGAGCAAGCTAACTATGCACACGGCCTTCGATCGGAAGGACAACGCACACCCCGCAGAGATCACCGCCCTGGGCGTCTCCAAGTAAGTGCCCGACCTGGCCAGCTCCCCCGCCCCCCGCCACGGAGTCACGTGCTTAGCCTGGGTCCACACGTGCAGACCCATCTTTGGGGAAAACAGGTGTCGTTTGCAGTATCAGACGTGGCTTGAGCAGACCGATCAGAGGAAGAAATCTGCCAGCGCATGGAGCGTAAATCTCTGTTCTTCCAGGTTACAGCAAGGTTTGATCCGGAGAGCTGAGCCGAAAGTGTAAATTCGGGCTCGGTTCTGCTTTTGTCTCTTCATACACACAGCCCCCACCCCAGCACACACATCCACGGAAACCTGAAGAACCTCAGGAGTGACAGCGTGGCTGCGGAGGCCTTCCCCGGGGTGACTCGGTGTCATGTCATGTCTCCTGCAGGGATCACAGCAGGATCCTCGTCGGTGACAGTCGAGGCCGAGTGTTCAGCTGGTCTGTGAGTGACCAGCCGGGCCGTTCCGCTGCTGACCACTGGGTGAAGGATGAAGGAGGGGACAGCTGTTCGGGCTGCTCCGTGCGGTTTTCTCTGACAGAGAGACGGCACCATTGCAGGAACTGCGGCCAGCTCTTCTGCCAGAAGTAAGATGAGATGCGAGCGTTTTGAGTTTCTGGGGGTCAGGCCCCCAGGATATGCCTTGTGCCCTGCACGGAGCTTCTCGTGTGCTCCGGGGTCCCCAGCACACGGTGCTGTGACGGTCTAAACCAGCCTTCACTTTCTCTTTGTCCTTTTATCACAGTTGTGCACCACTTCTGTCCTGTTGAAAAACAGGGAAAGAATCCTCACACGCACTTGGTCCTGCGTGACTCAGGACGGGAAGGTGCTCCCGTTCCGCCATGTTTGCATAGGCAGCAGTGCGGGTGTGCGCCCTCACCCGTCCCCCGTGTCCCCCACGTCTTCGACTCTCCCTAAACAGCACCATATTAGTGTTTCGTGGGGTTTCTGTTTTACATAAATACAGCACACTCTCTGTACCTTCTATAACTTCCTTCTTTTGCTCAACACTGTTTTTGAACTCCACATAAATAACTAATACTTTCATTTTAGCTGCTGTCATATATCTTTTGTATGAATATATCAGAATTCATCTCCTTCCCTTTTGATGGACTCCTAGGGGACTGGTGCATGTTACTGGTTCTCTGACTGGTGCTCTAGGACACACCCTTACAGATGCCCTCTCAGTAGGTGAGCTGGAGTGTCCCTAGAGGAGACAGCTCCGACTGGAACGGACCGATCATAAACTGAGCTGCACTGGTTGTGGCCAGATTCATCTCGGGAACAGCGGTGCTGCTTGACACCGCCTCAGGCAGGCTCTGCAGGCTGTCCCGGTTCTCCGGGCCGGTGTTGCCACACGGTCACTCTGGCCGCTCCGGGAGCCGCCACCACTTGCTGCTTGTAACTCACAGCGCTGCTGAGGTGGGACAGCTTGGCATTTGCTTATTGGCTGTTCGAGTTTGCTCTTGGGTAATGTGGCCCATTTTCCTTTTAGTTTTGCTTGTCGTTCCCCCACCCCCACCCCCCCGGCCCTGTACTTGAGGAGTTCTTTATTTACTCTGGGTTCTAATTCTTTGTCGTTTCTACATCTCGCAGGTACCTTCTGCCAGTCTGTGGCTTACGTTTTCAGTTTATATATGTTTTTTCTGGCACACAAGTCTTTCATTTTGATGTAGTCGCATCTCTTACTTTTTGTGATTTTTGCTTTTTTGTGGCTTAAGAAATCGTTCCCAGTCCTGAGATCATAAAGACAGCCTTGTTTATTTTCTTTTACGAAGTTCAGGGTTTTGTTTTTCACACTTGGGTCTTTAGGTCCAAATACACTTGGAATTTATTTGCAGGTATGGTTTGTAGTGGGGATCCTTTTTAGTTCCCTTGTATGGAGAGTCCGTTGTCCCCTCACCGTTGATCTGGATGCCATCTCTGTCTGCACTGGGGTCCCATACCTGTGTCTGCAATCCTCTCGTTCCGTGGCAGACCACGGAAAGGATCCCGCAGGTAGCACTCTCTGATGCTGACGCTGCTTAACTCCAGAGATACTTTCATAGAAGCATGAGCTGTATAATTGTTTTTGAGCCGGTTCCTGAGGCTTTGCGGGCACCGGCGTATTGGAAAGGGTGTGGCCCTTGGGTTTATCCTGACCAAATGCTCCCTGGGTTCCTGTCCATTCTGTCATCTCAGGCAGGTTACTGACCCTCTCTGGGCCTGTTTTTTTATCTGTAAAATGTGGATAATTATACTTCCCCTCATAGAGGTGCTGAGAGAACGGTGAAATCATGTATGTGAATTTTATAAAACACCAAGTGTGGAGTCTGGCAGTATAGGTGTTCAGTAAAAGATGTTATTATAGTTTCTTTTCTTTTCAGATTAATGTCTTAAACCTTTTTCCTGGGAAATCTCACTCAAGATGAGGTAGCCAGAATGTTGGTGCCAGCTCTTCCTTATGGGACTTTCTATGAGGTTGGCAGAGGATTCTGTCTTAGGGTTCTGTGCTTTGAGAGGCCCACTCTATAAAACCTAGTAATCTAGTAAGTTTTGACAGTCAACACCCCTGAATGGACACTGGCACACATTATTCCTTGTCGTGTTTAACTTCCCAAATACTATTTAAGGGTAGATAATTCTTTAAATTATCCATTGCTGTCAGATGTCCGGTGGAGGGTGTATTTGAAAAACCAACTCCACAGTGATTGCTTATGATAGAGCAGACACAGAAGGCAGAGCAGAGCCCTGCCCACGTTCTTTGTGCCCCTCAGTTGGTGAGAGAGTTTGTCAGCACTTTTTTTAATAGTTTTTTTTACAGAGAGAGAGAGAGAGAGTGAGCAGTGGGGAGGGACAGAGGGAGAGAGAGAATCTTAAGCAGACTCCCTGCTGAGTGCAGAGCCCGATGCGGGGCTCGATCTCATGACCCTGAGATCGTGACCTGAGCCAAAATCAAGAGTCAGGCACTTAACCGACTGAGCCACCCAGGCTCCCTGAGAGTTTATCAGCACTTCTGAGGGTCTCGTCAAAGTCCCAGATCCAAGAAGAGCCCTTTAAACTCCTTAAGCTGGTGACACTTTGTTTATTCTCTGGACACCTTTACTGGTAGATTATTGGAGGAAAAATAATTTTCTATTTCGGTCTTATGAAAAGGCAAGCTTAAAGTGATTAAATGCCACATCCAAGGTCACACCCTGCTTTATTCCAGGAAAAGGAATACTTTTTGAAGAATTTGAACACCTCTTTTAGTAGAGTCTACTTCAAGGAATTCTATCAAGATAAACAGAAAATGAGAACATTTGGACCAGACAGAAAAGCCAAACTCCTGTTCAAGAAATCACTGAGGGGTAGATCAAACAGTGTTTAAAAGCCCAAAGAAACTTGATAGTGACCAAAGAGTCTTTTAAACAAGTAGTAAATCTTCTGCCAAGAGAAAAAGAGTTAAGCTCCAAGTAAAGATGTTGGCATCGCTCCCAGGTTTACAGGGCCCGAGAGCCTGTCCCACACGGGAAGAATGGCCTCACAGCTGTTCAGACCCTTTGGCTTCATCCTGTAGGAAAATCTTGCCTTTAAAAAAAAAAAAAAAAAAAAATTCAGTCACACAGAGAGCTTGCCTTGGTTTAATATTACTTTTCTTCATAGACCAAAACAAATAATATGGTGGGTTTTTTTTTTTGGTCCCGGGTGAGCCACACACCACAAACCAGTACGTCTTTGGCATCTTCTGGCAATTATGCTTCTGCTCTTGGGCATTATAGTGCCGGCTTTCTGTTCAATTTTTAAGTTTGTGTCCCTCGGCCCAGTGATCAGACGTGGCGAGGACGTGCACCTACTTGCTTTTGCCTTTCCTTTAGGTGCAGTCGCTTTCAGTCAGAAATCAAACGCTTGAAAATCTCATCGCCAGTGCGCGTGTGTCAGAACTGTTACTACAACCTACAGCACGAGAGGGGTTCGGAGGACGGGCCTCGGAATTGTTGAAGACTCGACAAGCTGGTTGCCCAGCACGGTCTGTAGACCCCCCCTTCCTGATTCCCCGGTCACGGCTCACAGCTCGGAAGGCGTCTCGAAGCAGTCTCCGTTTACGCCTCTCTTCAGACCACGTGTCTGAAGCGTCAAATTCCAAGGAATCAGTGAATAAACGGGTGTCGAGTGCAGCGGTGGGGCGGACACTGTTCGGGGGAACAGCACAAGAAGAACAGGAGGTGGTTCCTCGGAGCGACTTTGCCAGTATCCAGTTCTCCCTGTTACCAGTAGCTGTCTCCAAGAGAAAATCCTCACTTACTAACTGTCTTTTCTCGCGTCTCATTTTTATAGATCGACTCATCCTTATTTGGAAAAACCACCACCAACAAAAAAAGGCTTTTAGAAAATGGTTGTAAATCTGACTTCTTTGCAAGTAACTGTGTATATTGTAAATAGGTATAAAGGCCTTTTTTTCTAAATAAGGACTTAACTGTCTGTAACATGAGACTTCAATCTAAACCACTAACTCAGTGAACTACTTATGGTTTGTCTGACATCTCTCACAAATTAATTATAAATATGTTTTTTAAATCCTCAAAGACATTATCTGTGGTCTTTTCTCCCCGCTTTCCAGCCCAGCCTGTGTGCCCGATGTCCTTTCTTTCAAGTTGCCCACAGTATCTCCACTTAAACTAGGCTAGTAACCAAAACGATGCGGACCTTCTTTAGGAAACAGTGTGGGAGACTGAGAGTCCTGCCGTAAGATACCCTGGAAATACCTGGGCATCTTGCACCTGGCTACGCACCACCTCAGTGTTGTTCCGGTGTCCTAAGGCCCCTTGTAAACTCCTGTCTGGACTGCCGTGTGGCCATAGCGTCCCTTTCTGAGCATTGCACAGTGGCGGTCAGGTGATTGATGATGCGGTGCAGGAGCCAGCCCTGCCTCAACTAATGGAAATATAGTTGCATGTAACCCACATTAGCTTCTCTTGCATAGAACATAATAAGGATGTGTCTTTGGTGACACTAATGTTCTATGATAGCTTATTTTCAAAAAAGGGTAAAAAGTGAAAAATGTGTACAGAATTAACATATAAACCTTGTTGTAAAACTGGATCATGTCAGAACTGCTTATAATTAACCTTTACCATTTAATGCCATCTACCTGAAAACAGTGAGATTTATACTGTATCAATGTCTATTTTTTTGTTTTTGCTATGAATATAATTACAGTATTTTAATATTTAGTTATTTAATTTGTTCTACTAGTTGGATACAGAACACACAAATCCAGGGAGACTAAAGCTGGTTGGGGCTTAAGAGAGAAGTTTAGTTTACAGAAAAAAGGCTTTGGTGGTGGGATTTTTTAAAATGTGTGTTATGTACATATATATATATATATACATATACATATATATAAAAAACAAATGAAACAATTAATCTAGATTTTAACATTTTCAGATATTTAGTGATAATATTATGAACAATTCTAAAAGCCCTGTGATTTGAAAAAGTGTAGAATTATTTATGGCCCAAGCAAGGAAGGACAGGCCTTCACACCCTCGTGGAGGTATCATACAAAGGACAGTGGCTTTGGCTTTCCCAACTTTTCATCTTTAGGCCCTGGTGACAGGCACACTTATGCACTAAAATGCACATATATGCACATGCATTCAGAAATAGGCATTGGTACAATAGTAATCTTGTACCTAATGGGCTGAAACCAGCTTAAGAACAAATTTGTTCTTCCTGATAACTAGGTCTCCAAGAGAAAATATAAAGGCTGCTTTAGTGCCTTATGCTTACTAAATTTAACCCTTTATTTACCTAGGTTTGAGCCTACAGTCTATTTATGATTGCATATCAAAATTGATTAGTACACTTCCATTTCTAAAAGTTCAAATACACTTGTTAATAAAAGGATTATTGGCATTAATACTTTAACTTGAAGAAAAGTTGTGTTCTGTTTTCCTTCCTGTGTCTGAAGTGCTCCCCACACTTCCCCCTCCCCCACCATCTTCAGTTCTAATAAATAATGCTGGATGTTCAACAGTGGCAGGAATTGTGCTATCATAGAATCGTGGGCTTTGCCCCTGTCCGGCCCTACAGATGAGTTGTAGCAGTGTTATTCTACACTTTTTAAAAGAAGCGTCCTCCTTGTGTCTATGAACCATGTTTACCCCAAACCCAATGGCAGAGGTGTTCTTTAAAGACTTGAATATATGAATGTGTGTATGTAGTTACTTAAAGGTTATTCCTCTGTGTAATACGAAGTTATATGGGATGAACACTTTTAAACTTTCCGACACAACTTCCATAATAGAAGGTGGAAACCAAAACCCTCATGATAGTATTTCCTCTGGCAGCTGGTGCTGTGGGCAACTCTTTTATTCAGTGGGGTTTCTTTTCTTTTTGCTTCCTGATGCAGAAATCACAAATCACTCACACATGCAAGTACACTCACATACATGAACTAATTGTTCCTCTGGATGTCTTTGTGTGTTTCATGTACATTTGTTTACCAACATCTATTCTCAGCATGTACACCCACCTTCGTGTGGTCTGTATTCCTTCTCTGAGAGTACCTCACAGGGCTCCTGCCTGATCTGTGTAGTTCATTTGTTCATCCATCCATCTATTCTAACATTTGTGTGTAGCGTGGAACCGTAATGTCATGCTTCGGAAGAGGAAAATAGCTGCCCATAGCAGCCGTCCGTCTGGATAATAGCAAAACACTCTAGATAAGTTATTTTGCACTTTCTTATGTATAAAGTTGGTAGAAACTTATTTTTTGCTTTGTATCATTTAAATACATTTTGTTTTGGTAAATGAACTGTGTATAAAATATTTATGCCGTTAAAACTGTTTTTAGAAAGTATTTTTAATTTCAGCAAGTTTGGTTACTTGTTGCATGACTATTAACACAGCTGACTTTTTGTGTCAGTGCAATGTATATTTTTTTGTCCTGTTATTAACTTGTAAGCCCTAGTAATGCCAATTATTTGTACAGCAACAGAAGTAAATTGAAGACCTGGCTAAGACTGGATTGATTGTGGACGTTTGTACTATACTGCAGAATCCAATATCTGTTCTTTGGTGGTTATGTAAAAGGCCTGAAGAATTACTATCTAGTGTGCAATCTGTGATAACTGAATGTTCATTGTGTATGTCTCTGATGCAAAAAGGTAGAGTAACACAATTACAATACACGATTAAATGCAATAGTCCAGGTACTTTTTTTTTTCATTTCAAATAAATACCTACTATTTACCACCCAAAGAATAAAAGTTGTTTTTAAGTTAGTTTATTCAGGGAAGGAGAAACAAAACAAAACAGAAAGCAAATGCTTCCCTAAACTTTGTGTAGTTCTTTTTGAGTTGTGAATATCTCTTTCAGAAGCTCCTGCTTACAGAAATGTTGGCTGTTAGGGTCTGGTTCAAGCCCTAGTTTGATCCATCTTTAAATGCTTTCTGCGTTGAGCTTCCCAATTGTGCTGGCTTCCTGGGGCTGAGGAGTGTGTGTGGACGGACGCAGGGAGAGACAGCTGACTTCGGGAGACATGCCTGCAAGCGCAAATGGACCCATGGACAAAGTGCATCGTGTGGTTTTGGCTCTTTTTCACTGACCCTCATTCTCTCTCCATCACATTGTGAAGAAAAGAAGCAACAGTAAATCGTCTGTCTCCCACCCCTACCATGTTCACATCAGGAATATTTTGGTATCCTGCCCTTTTTCTGGAAGCACGGCACCTACTGTCATAAGCTAGTCTTTCCATTTCAGTCTTCAGGCTGAGAGTTAAGAACTCACAAATCCATTCTTATTGTTACTAGCTTATTTAGTTTTAAAACTGCCTTCTGAGTATAGAAAACACTTTTTTAAATTTATTTAAGCTGCTTTAGCAACTAATTTTCCTCTTTCTAAAGATACAAACAAAATCCCAGTTCCATGTAAGCTTGAACGGCAGAGTCCCAAATTTGAGGATATTGTGCTCATTACAAATCCCACTTCAGTACAACTCCCTTCCCTTTAGAGGCAAAGATAGAGGAATGCCAAGAACTCCCAAGAACGAACAGCTATCTCTTCAACAACAGCCAATGGTAAGAGAGAAAACAGGGTAGTTCCCATTTCTTTAGTGCAGTACTACTCCAGGTTCTAATGACCTCAAGAAGCGTTGTAGTCAAGGATGGGCATTGCTGAAATTCAGGATTTTTTTTTTTTTAAGATTTTATTTATTTGACAGATATAGCAAGAGAGGGAACAAGCAGGGGGAGTGGGAGAGGGAGAAGCAGGCTTCCTGCTGAGCAGGGAGCCCAATGCGGGGCTCGATCGCAGGACCCTGGGATCATGACCTGAGCTGAAGGCAGATGCTTAACAACGGAGCCACCCAAACGCCCCAAAATTCAGGATTTAGAGGAGAAACATGCAAATGATCACTAAGTCCCTTTTCTGCAATTTGCTTCTCCTCTCCAATAAAATGACACATGCACCCCTCATTTTAGCCCCTTTGGAGCATCGGAGAAGAGGCAGGGCCAGCAGAAGTGGTCTAGCATTAACTTAGTCTCCTTACTGCTATTCTCATTTTCCTCACATTGCAAAACTCTTTTTTATTTACTGTTCCTTTTGACTTTTGCTAGAATGGCAGCAAGCTGAGCTCCCATGCTGGGAGCCAGCATGGTGTTTTGGAGAGCCCTGAAATACGAGTTGAGGGCCCGAGGCTGCAGCCGCTCCCCACTTGTGAACTTGAGAAGCCCCTGTTGAAATAGCTCCCAGCGTCAGGTTTTCATGTGTCCCTGGCTGCCAGGAGCAGGGAGGGGTTAAGATTGCACTTCGTTCTTGGTTTTAGGACCTTTTGGTCCTTAAAAACTGTCAAGGACCCCCACACTTCTGTTTATGTGGTTTGCATCTATCAATAGTCATTGTATTAGAAATCAAAACAAATTTTAAAAATATATGTTAATTTATTTTAAAATAACAATGATAAAACCATTATATATTAACATCAATTATATATTTCTATGGGGAAAAACCTTCCAAGCCAAAAAAAAAAAAAAAAAATTAGTGAAGAGTGGAATTGTTCTACAATTTTGCAAATCTCTTTAATGTCTGGCTTAATTGAACACAGGTGGATTCTCCCATCTGCTTCTACATTCCATCTTGGGATACTTCATTTTGGTCGAAGCATATGAGGAAAATCCAGCCTCACACAGGTATGTGGTTGGAAAGGGGGGGGATATATTAATAGCCTATCCAGATTATTGTTTTTTTAAAGATAATAGTTTGTTTCTTAAAGTTTGATTACTGTATAGCATCTGGAACCACATCGGTGAACTTTTGGTCTGTCTTGTATGGTGAATCCAGCATTTACCCGTGCATAATTTATAGCGTGCACTGGTCATTTAGACAATATTGGGTCACCGACGTAGTAGTCAACTACATCACTGCTCCAACTGACGTGTGTAGAGATCGTCCACATGTTGACATACTGCACTACAAAATAAATATTTTAATAATAATACATAACTTCGAAGTGTCACCAGCAGCCTCGGGAAATTCTAAGCCAAAGAGTGATGGAGACGCGTTTTCTAGTAGAATTTTGGCTTAAAACCTAAAATTTTATCATTGGCAATAAATAGTTCGCTGTTTTTGAAGCAACAGGCTAACTTCGTTAAGTTCAAGAAAATCTCTGCCCAAGGACCACAATCTGTCAGTTCTTTTAAGTAAACCTGGTGTGCGGTGAGGCAAGCAGCTAGTTCAGCTCACAACTCAATTACCACGGTGCTTTTCTTCCAGACCAACGTTGTGCTCCAGGATGCGAGTGCCTTATGGGTACTTCTCAGTTTGTGTCACACAACTTAAATTTCAAGATTTAATAAAAGTAGCAATTTTTACTGCTTCTCTAAAGACACGCTTAAGCGAAATAGCACTTTTTTTTTTTTTTTTTAGCAAGTGCTTGAGATAAAGAGTATCGTGATCCTAACCAGCAGTTTGGTGCCCCTGGCTTGGTGTGTGTGTTGATTCCAGCAGTTTTACCCACCATTGCTTCTGCACCTTAGTTCAGTACAAATATCAGTGCAAGTAACATTTGTAGTATATTATGAAAATAGTCTAATATTGCACATTCTGCAAAAGGCACTCAGAACTCCCAGGGCTCTGTGAACCAGACTTTCAGAAGCATTGGTCCAAGGAACCCAAATTGTCAAGAAGCATGTTGCATGCAATCTCATTTGGGAACAGTATTCCTCATCATAGGCCTGGGGCTTCCGACTGGGCTCCCACTGAAACCTGCCAAGTGCAAGACCAGGCCCCGCTGTTGGCGGCCACACTCGGCCATTGGAATACCACCACGTCCTCAGCTCTAAGCAACACAAAGACCGAGAATGCATCTCTGAAGCACTGGAGTTTCTAATGTCTTTTTTTTT